GCAGACTGTTGAGGGTTCAGCCTCCTGATGAGTCGGTGAAACTCCGACGAAACAGTTTGTCACAGCCCCTCGTTTGTTGTCCTCTTCTTTCTCTCTGCCTACGGTTTACCGGGCAGTTCTGTTTGTGACGATATATATATAGATATACGTGTTTGACGATACATATATCCCCCTCTCACTCTTGCGCGCGTGCACATTATCACCAAGGGCGGTAGAAGGCACGGCCCACGCGAGAATGTGCCTGTCTTCTACTGCTCTTGGATTTAAGCCGGGTTACAATTTTTTTTATTTTTATTTTTTTCACCCCTCAAAAACAATTGGTTGTCCTGTCTTTGACCCATCCCCCCCCCCCCCCCCCCCCCTGTCCGACCGTTGTTGCTCTGCGAACTGCCCCCCCCCCCCCCCCCTCGGTCCTCAAACGGTGGCCATCCATACGACCGTACGACCGTTCGGATGGCTGTTTAATGGCTGTATGACCGACGGCCAGTACGACGCACTGGGATTGACACAGCCATAGCCCCTGTCAAAAGTCCAATGAACATGTCAGGCCTATTCTGGGTAATGAACAAAGACTGGGCGGAGAAGATGGTCTGCAAACGTGTCACCAAATGAGACGCAGCACCCAGCTCCCTAGTGGACGGCTCTCATCCACATATGGAGGGAAATTATGCCTAAAAATGTCAAGAAACCCAAATCCAGAGAGGAAGTCCTGCTTCAGCCTCTCTTTGGGGACCCATGTGTGAGGGACGCAGGGGATCATCCACTCTCGCTTGCAAGCGGCCTGTGTCAGTCCAGCGATGGCTTTCATGGGTGTAGCATATCAGAAAGTGAAATGCACTGAGAGCCTAGGATCTAGCAATGACGAAAGTGGCAACAAGCAGCAGCATAGGTGCAACATTCACAAGATGTCAATGTGCACGATGCAAAGAGTGAACCAACAAGAAATCAACAACAACACATTTGTATCATTATCATCATGGGCTGGGAAGCAGCGCAGCGGAAGATTTAGTATCAAAAGGACACGTGGACAACAAACATGAAAGGGAGAAACTTCGGAAGGGCAAGACATCAGAAAGATTGCCCTTCCGCTCACACACATGGGGAGAGATCCATAGACATGCGAGAGAGAAGGGGGAGGGACATAGGAGGTAACCAAGTCCAACCCAAGTCTGATCTCCGAATGTCGTACACAGTTCAATCCCAATGTAGAGTGTAAGTCCGATCTGAATGTCSYGTCCAATAAGGCAGAAKGCCGTGTCCAAACAATGTCTGCAGTTACCTCTATCTCTACTCTGAAGAAGAAGAAGAAGAAGAAGAAGAAGAAGAAGAAGAAGAAGAAGAGGAAGAAGAACCTCGGAGGAGTGGGAGGAGAAGAGGAGAGGAGAAGAAGAAGAAGAAGAAAGCTAGGCGCTTTCTGCACTTACCTGGCGATGGCTGAACTGCAGATACCGCGGAGCCAGCTATGGCGCTGGTACAGGTAAGTCCTCTCTCTCTCTCTCTCTCTCTCTCTCTCTCTCTCTCTCTCTCTCTCT